GGTGGAGCCGAGGTGGGAGCAGGGGCAGGGGCGGGAGCAGGAGCAGGAGCAGGGGCAGGAGCAGGAGCAGGAAGACGGCTGGAATGAGGACGAAGGAGATCCAGACACAACAGGTAAAAAAACCCGTCGGTCTCTGACGTCAAATTCAAAGAAACAACGCTGGTCCACAACAGGACTAATGATGGCAGAAAACATCAAAGAGATGGAACATCAAACTGGTTTTTGGACTTGAGGAAATCCGTGCCATCCGTGACTCTGTGAATCTGTTCCTTCCCAGGAAATAAAAACAAGGTGAAAAGAACATTAAAGCCAATGAACACAACACAAACAACCATGGTTCCCACACTGGGATGAACGACCCGCCCCCCCCCCCCAACACTCAGCTATTGTGTTAGTTCAAACAGCCTGATTCCTACATCACTGCTTCTCCAACTGAACACAGAAAATTCTGTTACAAACCAGCACGACGTCAACACTGCACAACAAATAAAGACCCCTCCCCCAATAAACGCCCCTGGGAGGGGTCTGCCCCTCGCTTTGGAAAAACCACAAGTTTGTAGGCTTCAAGGGGAAATCCAGTTTGAGCTGTCCAAGGTGCTGAAAACCTTCACTGCTGAGTCTGAAGTCAGAAATATACAGTTTAAATAGTTTACAGTACAGTTTGGTTGGAAACATTTTTATCACCAAACTGCAGCTGAGAGAGGGTGGAGGAGGTAAGACGGCAGCTTATTGTTGCCCAGTCTCAGGCAAAGCATGGCAGATGACTCAGCAAACACAGGCTTCAAATGTTGGTTTTGGAAGTTTCAAGTTGTTATGCAAGACCTTTCACATCCTGAGGTGAGGAGCAGCGACTCACACTCTGTGTGTGTGTGTGTGTGTGTGTGTTGATCAGCATGTGTGCCGGGTGAAGCAGGGTATTCATCATCATCTGCTCCACACGCCGTGTGCTCCAAAGAGCAGGAGAGGAGCGGCGAGCAGAGTTGGAAGCGCTGGTCTGAGATCAGCGATAACAAGACAATCTCACACATGGGTTCACGTCAGATAGTGCTGGAATTTTAAGGAAGAATCTTTTAGGACATCTCCATGTCAATCATGGTCCCGTCCTCCTGCCCCCGTGAACACAGCAGGCTAATGAAACTAGCTTCTCTTTTGTTAGTGAAGAGATGAACGCTCCTCTCTTGTCAGTGTTTTCACCAACACCAGTGACTCACTGTGACTCACTGTCATCCACCACTGACTCAATGTCATCCATCAGTGACTTACTGTGACTCACTATGACTCACTGGCCTCACTGTGACTCACTGTCATCCACCAGTGACTCACTGTGAGTCACTGTCATCCACCAGTGACTCCCTGTGACTCACTGTCATCCCCCACTGACTCAATGTCATCAATGAGTGACTTACTGTGCCTCACTATGACTCGCTGGCCTCACTGTGACTCCCTGTCATCCACCAGTGACTCCCAGTGACTCACTGTCATCCCCCACTGACTCAATGTCATCCAGCAGTGACTTACTGTGACTCACTATGACTCACTGGCCTCACTGTGCCTCACTGTCATCCACCAGTCACTCACTGTCATCCACCCATGACTCACTCTGACTCACTGGCATCCACCAGGCCTCACTGTGAGTCACTGTCATCCATCAGTGACTCACTGTGACTCCCTGTCATCCACCAGGCCTAACTGTGACTCACTGTCATCCCCCAGGCCTCACTCTGACTCACTGGCATCCACCAGGCCTCACTGTGCGTCACTGTCCTCCACCAGGCCTCACTGTGCGTCACTGTCCTCCACCAGGCCTCACTGTGCCTCACTGTCATCCACCAGTGACCCCCTGTGACTCCCTGTCATCCACCAGTGACTCACTCTCATCCACCAGGCCTCATTGTGAGTCACTGTCATCCATCAGTGACTCACTGTGACTCACTGTCATCCCCCACTGACTCAATGTCATCCATCAGTGACTTACTGTGACTCACTATGACTCACTGGCCTCACTGTGCCTCACTGTCATCCACCAGTAACTCACTGTCATCCACCACTGACTCAATGTCATCCATCAGTGACTCACTGTGACTCCCTGTCATCCACCAGTGACCCCCTGTGACTCCCTGTCATCCACCAGTGACCCCCTGTGACTCCCTGTCATCCACCAGGCCTAACTGTGACTCACTGTCATCCATCAGTGACTCACTGTCATCCACCAGTCACTCACTGTCATCCACCACTGACTCACTGTCATCCACCAGTGACCCACTCTGACTCACTGTCATCCATCAGTGACTCACTGTGACTCCCTGTCATCCACCAGTGACTCCCTCTGACTCACTGTCATCCCCCACTGACTCAATGTCATCCATCAGTGACTCACTGTGACTCCCTGTCATCCACCAGTGACCCCCTGTGACTCCCTGTCATCCACCAGTGACTCCCTCTGACTCACTGTCATCCCCCACTGACTCAATGTCATCCATCAGTGACTCACTGTCATCCCCCAGGCCTCACTCTGACTCACTGCCATCCACCAGGCCTCACTGCGAGTCACTGTCATCCACCAGTGACCCCCTGTGACTCCCTGTCACCCACCAGGCCTCACTCTGACTCACTGGCATCCACCAGGCCTCACTGTGCCTCACTGTCATCCACCACTGACTCAATGTCATCCAGCAGTGACTTACTGTGACTCACTATGACTCACTGGCCTCACTGTGCCTCACTGTCATCCACCACTGACTCAATATCATCCATCAGTGACTTACTGTGACTCACTATGACTCACTCGCCTCCCTGTGACTCACTGTCATCCCCCAGGCCTCACTCTGACTCACTGGCATCCACCAGGCCTCACTGTGACTCTCTGTCATCCACCCAGCCAGCACTTAGTCTCCGTGTCAGCCGCATTGGCTACAACCGAGGAAGTAGCAGTCCAACCAAACCCTAACCCCCCCCCCAAAATGACGATGACTTTCCTTATTTTGCTTCAGCGGGAAAATAAAATGTAAAACTAGGAAAGAGCAGTAGAAAGGAGAGATGAGAGAGAGAATGAGGGGAGGGAGATACAAGGGTAGGAAGAATGATGAAGAGAAATAACAGATGGAGGAGACGGGGGGGGGTAAATAATAAGAGAGAGAGAGACAGAAAGACGTCAGGAACCAGAGACGGAGAGAACTGTTGGTTTCAGTCAAAGTAGAAGAAAAAAACTGTTTTCAAGCTAAAAATTCAACCAAAAAAAGAAACATTTAAAAAATTTTCACCAGTGACGTCACATTTAAACGTGTTACCTTGACTTTATTTGGCCAGATAAATAGAGACTCTTTCTTTCTTCCCTGCAGGGGGTGCTGTAAATGCACTTTTATTCCTCAGTTTAGTCCTAGTGATCCATCAACAACAAAAAATACCAGGTCCGACATGGCCCATGGGCCGCTGAGGACCATCAAGTCAGGTGAGGGGGGGTCACATCCTGGACACAGCCACCCTGCTCCCCCGGGGCAGGGGGGGTTGAACAAGACCACAACTCCACCTCCACCAATCATGTGTTCAGGAAGCTCCTTACCAGTATCATGTGACCCGTGGAGATGTCCATGTTGGACGGCACAGGCTCCTCACACCAGGAGGACGTGCTGCTGCGGGTGGACGGACTCGCCGCTGGGCCGTCGCTGAACTGAGAGGAGACGCTGTTAAGCCTGGAGTGGCGCAGGGTCTCTGGACGCTCCACTCGCTCCGATGTCCTGATCGCCATCCTCTGGCGACACAACTCCTGCACCGATGAGAGCAGATGGTGGTTAGAAACAAAGGAAGACGTTGGTGAAGTCACGTGGACCTGCAGCACCTCACTGGAACCTTGACGTCTGGGAATTCGGCTGTGATCAGGGAATTTAAAAACACCCCCACATGTTGAGCCCCAAACTGAAGCAGAGTCAGTCAAACAGGAGCTCCCTTCATGTACAGATAAAATATCACAATATAATAATACTATATTTCCCAGTGACTCAGCTGATCTCCCATCATGCCTCACTGCAGATATAGACCATCAAATGTGGGTGGAAAAAGCATTTGCTTTTGTGGAGCGAGAGAAAACCAGACAATTGTTGTTTTCTTTCCTCCTATAGATGTATTTACTCCTTCATCTCAGTCTGTTTGTTTGTCAGGTGAATATTTAAAAATATGGGACATCATTTGGAAAAAAGTCTGGCCAGCTTTAGCTAGGGGTTAGCTAAAGAAAAAGCTAACAAGTAGGAAGAGCGATAATAAAATTGTAAAACTGATTTGATAAAAATCAGTGTTCAGATATAGCTAGTAGTTAGCCTCATGTAGAATTATCTAAGAGTTAGCCCGAAACAAAAACAAAAATAAAGTTTCTTCAGTAAACTATTGAAAGGTATTTTAATGTACGTATCATTACTGCTAACAGTATCAATCTTCTTAGTGACCAGTGTTTTTGAACGGACACATCAGCGGAGCAGCTCAGTGAAAACCTGATTAAATATTGAAAAAGTTAACGCCACGTGTGTATAAATGTGTTGTGAGGGCCACCATGGGCCCCACTGAGCCACCGCGCTGAAAATCAATACACCCCAGACTGGCTGCCCCCGGCCCCCAGGAAGACAGAGAATAGGTCACAGCAGCAGCAGCAGCAGTAGATACACACACACACACACTCACACACACACGGCTGAGTGCTGGATAATTGGATGTAGTGAAAATCTACTGGAGCAAAAAAATCCAAAAAGTAAATGAAGAAAAGTGATTTGAATTTAAGGGTTGGTAATCCACAAACTAAAATGTTTCCAAATTAGTTCAGATAAAAATCTGAGAGGAAAACAAAACAAAACGTTTAAAAACGGTTGAATTACCAGGAACAAAAGATGGGACAAAAAGTTGAGGAATAGCTAAATAATAGCATTAAATACTGATGAAAAAACTAGCATAAAACATTTTAAATCAAATTAAGATGAAGTCAATAAAATAAAAACTTGAGCAGTAAAAAAAACTAGAACCAAAAAATAAACATCACAAAAATGTGGATGAAGATGGATTTATTTCTCTGCAATACTAATATATATACACACATAAATATACAGTATATATACATATGAATATATATGTAAATATATTATACGGTCTGACACGTGGACATCGCAGGTGGAGAAGCAGAATCTGTTACACCGTGACACGTGCACAGAAACAACAGTGCACACTCCACCAATCAAATACTCGTGTGCATTTGAACAGCATGTGCACTAGTCGAATGTGCCAGAGTGCGATTGGCTGACAGTGAGGAGAGGGGGTGGTCCTAACCTGATAGGTTGCCGTGGCCTCAGTGCTGGTGTCGGTCCCCAGGCTGGACAGCTTCTCCTTCATGTGGAGATGTGAGCGTTGACGCACGCAGAAAAAGGTGACGGACACCGCCAACGCCACCAGGACCGAGAGCATGCAGAGGACGGAGAGCAGCAGGAACTGGCCCGACTCCACCCGGGTCTCCTTCACCACAGGGATCTGGGTGAGGCTGCCTCTCTGAGAGGGGGGAGAAAGACAGAAAACATCAGTCAGGTCAACATCACGTCTGAACACCAGTCCACGCTCCTTAGATTCAGAAATAAAGGAGAAGTCAACATGGCAGCTTCACCTACATCTTCTCCCACCCTCCCCTCCACCCACCCCCTCATTAACCCGCTCTACTGATGTCCATTCAGACCCAGTCAGCCCTGATTATCAGTTCTTTCTCCACCATAGATATTTACAACTCCATTTAGCGCTGGCGTGGGGCGAGCTGCCACCGGGGGCTCCAGGAGGCCCACATCCTGGAGAGCCTGTGCTTAATTAGCTCCTCTGGTCCTGAGTCATCCTGGACGGATTAGGATTAGGATCAGGCCCAAGTGGCACAGCTAGAGGTGAGGTGTGGACGAGGGTTGGAGTGTGGGTTAGGGTGAGGGCAGCAGCAGAGGCTGATGGGAAACGTTTGTGTACAATAATATTCTACGCTAACGGTGCTGCTCCCAAATAGTGACATGAGATTTTTTTTAGAATATTTATTTAATTTTTTTTAATAGTGAAGATTGGAAGTCAAATGAAAAAAGACAAAATAAACCCAAAACTACAATAAACCCAGAAAATATTCACATTGAAGAAATCTTAAAAATACAATCAATTAAATCTATTTTAAATCTATTATCTATTCTATTTTAAAGAGTAATTATAATGACGATAGCTTTTTTAAAAAACTATTTTTAATTTTTCTGTAGTTTTTTTTACATTTTCTTCAACAGCTTTGATTTGATTTCACCACCTGCTGAGAAATGAAAGAAACATAACAGAAAAACCTTTTACTGACAAATTAAATTAAAAAAACCAAATTAGAAAAAACTGAACAATTATTATTATTATTGTCATTAGCAGCTGATTAACTGCAGCCATCTGTTCTCACCTTCAAATGTAAAGTGTTGTGTTCAGAAACCTTAACCTAGTTAATTTTTATTTATTTTCAATCATTACTGTGAAAAGAGCAAAATGTTTCTTGTGAAAAACAGAGACTGCCTTAAAATGATCAGAGATTGTCATCAATCAAATCAAATCATTTTTCCTCAGATCAAAGAACTAAATTCACCGACATCTGGAGGACCATTAACAGCAGCAGCAGCAGCAGCAGCAGCAGCACCAGCGGCAGCAGCAGCGGCCGGAGCAGCGGCGGGGGGCGCGGGGGCGGGCGGCGGG